TAAACTTTACGCATTCACTGTAATCAAATTTTATGAAATGCTCAGACCCAGTATTCTTCTCCTTTTGTTCAAGGGGTTTTCACTGTGTTGTGTGTGTGTGTGGGTGGTGCACTTTAATGTCTTTACTGTGGTTTTCGGGGTGGCTTGAGCTTTGAGTTTGCGGCTTGTGAATGAAAATTTTGCGGCATTGATAATTAAATAATAAATTGTTGTAATGTCTACATTTGCACCCCTCGACTGTTGCATTTGGCTGAAAGGCCATAAATGATTTATATGCACATTGAATGCGTCGACAATAGATTTAATTTAACGATGTCTTGGCGACGATGATGGCGATAATGATGAAGCCGGCGACGCCGCCATTTTGGCTTTGCTCCATGGTGGCATTTTCCGCTTTCCCTCCTTTCCGATTTTCCCCCACATAGAGGTAATTACGCGGAAATGGGGGACAGAGAGAGGGGAAGCCAACATCAATATTCTTCCTTCATTCGCATATTAAATCTATGTCATTTTATATAAATTAATTTTGCCAATGACATTCAATGTCTGCTCGAGCGAAAATGGATTATGAACGTAATATATGGCAGAAATGTGGGTTGTTCTTTGATGTGTGTTTGTGAACATATTAATGCGATACTGAAAACCAAAGAAATTGATAGGGAAGTTGAATTGGGAGGTAGATTGCGAGGCGAGGACATTTCGTTTTTGGGGATTTATATGCGTTGAGGTTTACTGCTAATGATGTGTGGATATTTTGTTTAATAAATTGATTTTATATTAAATTTGTAGGTAGCTGTATTAAACAATATCTTAAACCCATGTATTCTAATAGAAATTAATTGTCTGAAAGCAATATTAATGCGAAAATAAATATATCTATTAAGCCATACTTCATTTTGAGAAATAAATTATGCCTAAGCTTTAAATGAACACTACATCATTTTTATAAAAATGGTTGAAACAATATATATGGATTTTTTAATCTCAAAAATAACTTTTAAGATTAAAAGACACAAAAACGAAACGCAATTTTTAAAAGGCGTAAAATCAAATGAATCATTTATATTTTACAATTTCTTTAACAAGCTTTGCAACTTTTTTATACATTTAAGAACTTAAAAGGATTGTTTTTTTTTGGTAATTCTAATTTCTTAAATTTCCAGAAGACTAAACCATTTAATATAGTTTTTTAATAACATTAAAATACTTCTTATTTAACTTTTTTATTTTCCGCACTTACTTCTCAAACTCTTGGGGTGGAAAACCTTGAAGACGCTTTCCATTCATGGACGAACAATTACCGACTGCAATTTGATTGAATTTAAATTCAAGAGCTCGCCTTGAGCGGTCCTTATCTCAAAGTCAGTCCTGTCCTGTGACAACCCCTGCTATCCCACTTTTCTCTCCTTGGGCGAGTCATAAATTATCCTTAGATCACGCGCCAACAAAAGCGTTTCCTACACTTCACTTCTTCTGGTTCTGCAGTCTTTCGTATTGTTTTTTTTGTTGGTCCTTACGCAGTGACCTATACAATGCATTCCATTGGGAAACTAGTAGTGGTAGTTCATGCCTTTCGCCCCTTGGACTCACTCCTTCTATTTCATTTTTTAACTAGCTTGAATTCCTGGCAGTCACATGCCGACAGAGGCGCAGCGCCAAGATGATGGAAACAGCTGACATTTCACTTTCTTGATGCGATTACGCAGCGAGGAGTGCTCCCCCTCTTCAGCCTGCCACTGTATTTCCGCCCCCCCCCCCACTCCCACTTTGCCTCCCCCCGGCCATTCCGCCCACACTGCAAATTGCTTACGGTCACGTAGCAGCGGTCTTCCCTCTCACTCGCTCCCCGAAAGCCCCCCTATCTGGTCGCCTCCTTTTTGCTGCTGTTGCGCGACAACAATTTTTTGCGCTTTAAGCCAAGAAAATTTACACTGAGCTAAAATTTATCTGCAAAATCATATGTACCAAATGTTAATTTTAATTTAATATAGATTAATTATTTACATGACTTTTAAAAAGGGAGCAATACGTTTAATTATTTTTTCTTAGTAAATGATGAAACGTATTACACATAAAGAAATTGTTTAATTCGATTTTCTGCATATATTTAATTTTCAACGTTGGTTTTTAATTGGTAATATTTTAAAAACATATATATATATTTTTTTAATAAATTTAATTTTATCTTTAATGTCTTCAAAAGAGTATTTTAATAATACGATTACTATAAAAAGTGTGAAGGTTTGTTTTGAAAATTAAATATTTTCAAAACGTAACTTCACATTTTAAATACCTATTTATTTAGGCAAATAAATAAATTATTATGTTTGCATTTAATACTTTAAAATGTCTTCTCTTACAATTAGTTAATAATAAAATAAATTTTTCCTTTCACTGCAAGGGGTGGAAAATATGGATGAGGAAGAGCAGGCATAGTGAGAAAAAATGGGGTTGGGAGTGGGTAACAAAAGGAAAATGGTGCCAAACTTAATGAAAATACCAACGCGTCGTCATTTTGGCCGCAGAGAGGCTGTAGCCCACCCCCTTTCCGGCAAGCCAACTTTCCGCCCCCGAAGCTATCCATCTTGCATGCCATTTTCCCATTCCCCCAATATGTTATTTTTCATGCGTTTTAGGCGAAAGTGTTTTATACCACTGTGCGTGAGAGTCTGTTTTTTCTTACTATCTACCCCATCGTTCTATTTATTGGCATTTCTTGATTTCTTGCTCTATTTTCCCAGTAAAGTAATCCCCCGAAATATAACCTAATTGGTGTTACTTCTAAAATATAAGATCCAAAAATGTATTTTCTTGAAAATGTTGTTTAATAATAGTATATATATTATTATTTTTTATTATTTTATATTATTTTAACTCCTTATCCTTTTTTGCCAGTTTTCACTGTATTGACATTTTTTGATTTCTTGCTCCCATTTTGTTGTATTTTGTTTTTGTCCTGCCGCTGCTTTGGAAAATTTGCATATCTCGATAGTGTCATTAAATTTGCATATTTAAGATAAATTTAAATTCCTTGCATGTTTTGTTGTATATATTCCCATTTTTTTGGCCGTCTTTCTGTGTTCCAATTTCATTTCGAGTATTGTCCTTTCTGTCTGCTCCTGATTCTTCTTCTTGTTCGTTGGTCCTGGCCCATTCTTCAAATTTTGTCGTTGCTATTGCAAATTTATTGTTTGTAGGCTTAAAAGGGCGGAGGAAGTGGCATAACATTGTTTACAGACTGTCCTTATATGTATGTACATACATAAATGTAAAAGTGGTGGAGTTCTTACAGTCGCGGGAGTATTTTCGAGGTAATTGATTGTTTTTAAAAACAATTCAAAATGTGGTTGATTTAAACAACTCTCTTTAAGAGAGTGTCCACCCGATTTCATTAAATTAAAGTTTCTAATCATTTTTATAATTTTTTTTATCACCGTGGATCTTTTAGAGTGTGAGGAGGACTAGTAATATATAGCCGCAGAACTGAAAGTCTGCTGTAATGGTATGATCGGATATAAAATAAATATTGAAACCTAAATTAATACAGTTTTAAGTATTTAAAAAAGGTTTTTTATTTGCGTGGAATATAGCCTTGCAATCATTCCTAGAAACGGTATTTTCTGTCCCTCGGGACTATTGTCTCGTCCGCTGCTGTATGAATGGGTGGTGCCGGTGGGCGGTGCTTTACAGTGCGTGGGAGTCGCTCTCATCTCGTTTTTTCTGACTTAAACCCCCAGTCTCCTTATTTTTCGTTGTCGTCATCATGCATCATTTGTTTAGTCCCTTAGTCCTTTGTTATGTGCCAAAAGCTGAGAGGGAGGTGGGCAGTGGAAAGGACGTGTGTGGGCGGAAGGATATGTATGTGGTGGGTGTCGCACTTTTATGCGTCGCACTTGTTGAGAATATTAATTTTATTTAAATATTTCAAAATAACACACAAGTTGCGGGCTTCGCAATTTTGGGTTCCCCGTTTTTTTATTTTATTCATTTTATTTTGCGACATTTACGTAATGAACTGAGTTAATGGGATAAAAGCCCCACCCCATATTACAACTGAAGAAGACAGGAAAATTTAATTTTCAAGAAAAAAGGTTGCAGAAGACTTAATTTAAAAGTCAACGTTACTAATTTTAAGTTTGAAAAAAAAAGTTTTAAGCTTTTAAAGCCGAACTTTAGAATGCTTTCTTTAGTATAATATAATTTATTTATTTATCGTCCTTACTAAAAGCAATAAAAAAAAATATACTAAAAAATGTAATTTGAAAAATATAATTTTAATATTTACAATGACAGATTAGATTAATTTAAAAAAAATATAACTTCAAACATACTGTGTAACGAGGCCTTGAGAAAAATGTATGTAAATGTCGATAAATATATTTATATTGGCCGAATTTTATCTTAGTTGCAGTATTGCCTTTGATATTTACTAAATTAACAGTATTTAGTATATGATGTACTATAATACCAGTAATAAGCTAATAAATAAATATACATATGTATGTAGCTTAGATTTCAAAACCAAATGAAAAATGTCGAACATGGTTTTTTTTATTTATTTACCACTTTTGTCAAAGACTTAACATTTAGAAAGCATTGCATAGATATTTTCATATTTATTTGGTATTAAAAATGATTCACATTAAATTTGTGAACTAGTGTAAAAGTTTGGTATTTTAATTTTGAATACCACATATTGCTGGTCATTTATGTCATAAAAATATCGCAAAACTTAGGCGTTTCCGTAATAACTTTAGAGTTTATTAAAAAGGTTTCATGTAGTAAACTGGGAGCGGCAGCTTCTTCGCTATCTTTTTGCCATTTTCATTTAGTTAATTATTTAAATTTCTATTTGTGATTCCCAACAGCAACAAATATAGACTTAGTGAGAGCGCGAGAGCAAAGTTTGCCGGTGAAGCGCAGATAATGAGAGAGATAGCAAGAGAGCGGGATAGAGAGCGTCGAAATTTGTGTGGCTTTTTCGCTCTCTCTTCTACACTCCCACACTCACTCTCATACGATTGCCGTCGCTGTCGCGTTGCGCTTTCTTCGTTTTTTTCGGTCTGCGCAAACTTATATTTTGTCGTTGTAATATTTTGCATAAATATATAAATTAAACCGCGTGACGAAACAACAAACCAATAAAGCAAGAAAAAAGGAAAAGCGAACAAATCAAAACGAAATCCACATAACTTTCAAGTGCAAATTGCGTGTTTGTGTGTGCGTGAGTGTTTTCTGTTTGTGCGACTGTGTGGTTTGCGTGTGCTTGTGTGTGAGAAACAGAACGTGCAACAAGAAGCAAGAAGAAGCAACAGCAGCTGACAGGCCAACAAAATAAAATAAATTCCAATAAGTAAGCAGCATGAAAATAAAGCAAATCGAACAAATAGAAAACAACCTTTGGAAGCCCCGCAAAGAAGACGTAACAATGGCAAAAACAAATTTTGCAGCTCTCAGCTAATTGAAAGCGAATGTTGTTGTTTTAGTGCAATGCACTCGATAAAAAGAAAAACGAATGGCATAAAAATACATAAATAAGAACAGCAGCGCTATAAAAACAATAATAAAATTAAGAATAAATAAAAGCCTCTCAGTGAGAAAGAAAAAACAAAAGGAAAGACAAAGAGAGAGGATGATTAGTGTAATTATTTAAATCTTATCGTAGTGCAAATATTTTATTTTTTGCTTTGCTCACTTGTTGTCTTCTTTTACCGGCTGCTCTCTCCCGCTCTTTCTTTTTCTCTCTGTGACAGCTGTCAACTGCGCTCTCGCTCTCCTTCTCTCGCTGTCATTGTCCTTAAATAAGCAATAACAAAAAACAACAAGTGCAATTGATAAAAAGCCATAGCGTAAAACAATTTGCAATTGAATAATTCCCCCCAGCATATCAATAAATTATAGTGCCTGTGTATGTGAGTTTGTGCCTGTCTGGCAGTTTAAAAATAAATTTGCAAAAAAAAGTTTTGGCTGGCTGTGTGCTATTTTTAATGCCAAAATGCAAATGTTGCAACTGCTGCGCGGGAAAGAGAAGGCAATAGTGCTAAAATAACTCGCTCAATGCTCTGTTGCAAGAACAAAAACGGCACAAACAAAGTGCCGAAAATAAGCAACAAAGTTTGCAAGTGAAATATTAATTACAAATTTATAACACGGCAAAACGATCTGGATATGGCACAGAATGCGATAAAAGAGCGATATAAATAGAGAGAGAGAGATAGAGCGCGAGAGCGAAAAGTGCAGAGGACAGTGTTGCCGAGCTGCAGGCAGAGTCAACGGGTTGGGCTTCAAAATTGCAGTAGAAAAGGGAGTGACAGGTGTTAATTAGCTAGTACACAAATATTTAAAATACTACAGAATTAATCAAATTTTTAAAAGACAAAAACAAAAAGATTAAGAGAATAAAATCCCTGTTTCCGATGTGAAATAATACTACCATTCTTAAGAGCAATTTAACAACACATTTAAAACAAAGTAAAAGTTACTAATTTTATAAAATATATTGTAAAACAATATATATGGATAGTGTATAGTCTAGTTTAGGCCACGATATTTGTATAATATACATTTTTTTAATTTAAATACCTTTATTACATTTTAAAAAGTGTGATTTGGGGATTGTAATTCTCACTTTCCAATACCTCTTAATACAAAACGTCCTCCCAAATAATTTAAATTAATAACTGAAATTGAAACATTACTGTTACAGCATTAAAAATTTGTATTGATTGCAAACAACATTTTAATCCGTAGCATGATTCACGTTTTCTAATCTGGCTTTTCTTTTCCTTTCTTTTGCAGTCGCGAGTTAATCTGAGATTCCTGTTATCTAAAAAGTAAAAAGAAAAAAAGGAAATCGTATTTGCAATGCATCCAAGGTACAGCCCGGCACCGCCTCCTCAGCAGCAGCAACAGATGGGCGGGCCACCCCACCAGCAGCAAGGTGGAGGGGGAGGCGGTAACATGAGGGGACCGTCGAACACCCAGCAATTGCCGCCGCAGATTCCGCGATCCCAAAACTATTCAAACGTAAGTCGTGTATAAATCACATCTATATTTAAGGCGGATAATTTTAGATTATTATTTATTGGTCAGCGATCATTTCAAGTGATTTGGGTCAAAATATTTGCACTTAGAAAATTAACCAAACCAAAGAAATCTATACGGATAAATGATTGTCCGATCAATATGTATATAGTTAACTATATAAATGTACCAATTATTTATCATCTAAGGTTTTAATTCTGCTGTCCTCGTAACCCTTTTTAGGATTATACCTTTTTTTTATTGCTGCTTATAAATATATAATTATTACAAAAGTGGTTCCAACTGTTTTGCACAACAACTTCTTTATCAGCTTAACAAGCTATAGTTTAATTAAATTCTAGAACCATCGATAAGAATATTTATTTAGATTTAAATATACAAAAATAGTTTTAATGATGCCACAAATGACTTACTTTTGATAACTTTATTGACCCCATAAAAACTCTAAACCAGTTCGTAACAGCCTTGTAAAAAAAGTGTTGGCCAAACATCTAAGCAATCAAGGGCCAACAAAGGCATCAATCAATCAATTTCTCAATGCATCAATCAAGCAATCAAATGGCTTACTCGCTCGCACTCCCGGCAGTCAGTCAGTCAGTCACACAGTCACTCACTCAATCGTTCATTCAAATCGGACTCAGGCTGATGATTTCTGATTCTGATGCTTCTTTCCACATAGAAGGCGCCATTTTTGCCTTGCGGGCGATAGGGGGCGCCACTGCAATCGACATGTGTCATACGCAGAGTCGTTTGAATCCGGGAAATGCGGGAGGAAAATGGGGCAAAATCAGGGGAAAACGGGTAAAACGGGGCTGGCAGAGAGTACGCATTTGAGTGGAAAATTGCTCCCGCTGATGTGGCTGCCATGGCCTGGCAATGATACGGATTTCTTCTAACCATTTTCGCCATCAATTTGCTGACAGTTGCAGGGCAGCCGCCTAATCTCGATGAGAGAAACGAGGCAATAGTGTCCCATTATCCTCGTACCTGATAAATCATTATTCACTCACATACAAAACCACACACACACAGTATTCTGGAGAAAGGACCATTTTAGCTAGATTTCCTTTTTGCTAATTTCAATGGTATTACTCATTTTCGGGTGGTGTGGGTTTGTGCATTGTAAAATTTCCATCATAATTTATGCATTTGCTTTCTAAGCACCAACAACGCATACACAAAAAAATGGAAAACATGAAATGGGAATATCACAAAAGCAACATTTGTAAGTAGAGTAGAGCCCCGTCCATTCTCAACTGACGATATTCGGTTTACCTGCGTGTATATGGATGCACAGAAAAATTATATCTAAATAATTAAGGATTTCAAAGATTTTTCAAAATCTTTCTGTTTTTTAATCTGTAGAAATTTTAAAAAATACTATTTTACCCATTAGTGAATATAGTGCGAAATTTAGATATATTTTTATTCATTTTGAATTGCGTTATATTAATCATTTGATATTGATATTGATATTATATTTGTATATTTAGACCTTGCTTTCAAATTATATTAAAGATCGATCTCAAACTCAGCAACTCTTTAAAAACTGCCAGCCGCACTTTGTGGCAATAGTTCTATTGTTTTGTTTTAAATGTGATTTTTGTCTCATTGATTTTCAAACCGATTTTAAAATAATAATCTATGAATTTGTTTGATGCATTTTTCTTGGTGTATATGTCTTATATAAGTATACCATATAATAAACTATTCAAAACTGTTGCGGCATAATGCTGAGAGATGGGGTGTAACAGAATCTGGGGCTGGTGTTGCTCGTTTGCTGCGTTTTTGGGTAGCCCAATCCCTCCCTGGAGTCCCTGCAATCCCTCCAGGTGTGCTCGCTTTGTAGGCAGCGTCTATTTGGCATCCTCTAATGGCCAACAGGCGTTGCTTTGGCTTTCTACGGGAGCGTTCTTTCATTTAAACAGCTTTCAACTCACGGCAACAACAACAATATTCTGGCAGACCACATCAAAATAAAAATGCAGAAAAAAAATTGAGGTTGGGGAAAAAGTGAGGAAAATACAGTAAAAATTGTAAACAGTCGCGCTTAGTCAGCGCCACAGTCGACGTCAGTTATTGTGGCTGGAATGAAAATTATATTTCGCATTTTGTGTCCTACACAGAAAATTGAAGAAAGGAAAGTAAATAAATAAAAGAGGAAACCGGCAAGTTGCTGAAGTTTATGGAGTTAAGGGAGGATAAATTTAAAATTACTTTGAACCACACTTTGCGATGAAAAAGGCGAGCGTTTTTCGTGGGAAAAGATTGTTCATGTCGAGTTTACGTTGAGTTTAGGATATAATATTTTGAAAAGTTTTAAGAAAAGAAAACAATTAATAGCGATTAAATTTATGTACTTGCAAGGCAAAAATGAAAGCAGTAAAAGTGCAATCTGTTCAAAATATCTATCTTATTTTATACATTATATCCCTTAACTAATAAATGTCTTTCGATCTGTTCAAACGTTCAAATTGTTTTTTTTTAGGAACCTAGGCGGACCATCTCGGTTTTAATCTTTATTATATTATTAAAAATCATTTCAATACCACTCAGTAAATGTTTATACGATACTATCAGATAAAATATCAAGGGCTGACCTCCGTTTTGCTGCGCTTACAGTTTCAGACCTAACAACAATCGGATTTCATAAATCATTGCAAAATAGCTTTCATCCATTCATAAATTCTTAATTAACATTTTTTAATCAATTGTTGCTTCAGAAAAGCAAATATCCCTTCCGGCATTCTCAGTTCTGTCACTTTTATTCCTTACTCCCTCTTTAGTAATTATGAAATTAAATACATCAGGAAATAACCAAAAGGAAATATAATTTACACTCCTTTGATTTGCTTTTCCTACCCCAGGTTTTGCGTTTACCTGAATAATTTGATTTCCCTTGCCTTCTCCACGTATAATTTTTAATTTTCCAATTTCTATATGAGTTTGCTAGACGAAAATTGTTTCGGAAAGACTTGAAAACTTTCAGTATTTGAGTTGTGTGCGCTAAAAAGTTGTCTCGACAAAATATTTATATTTCTTATAAGTAGTTTTGTGTGCTTGGTCACGTAGTAATTTGTGATTTAATTCAATGTTGACAATTGCGAGCAGGCAGAAAGTTGTTAAGGTAATTGCGACCGCATAGGCTGAGATGCATTTCAATTGAAGCTGCTGACCAGACGGATGGAGACTCGGGATTCTCCCCCTCCAAAAACCAAGAAGAGATGCTCCGATGCAGCGCTGAATGGCATACGAAACGCCTTTGAGTCCTGCGCCTGCGTCGGCTTGTGGATCCTGTTGCTGGAAAACAATTTTGCCGGCTCCCAATGCATTCGAGTCCACGAAGTGCGAAACCGAAGCTCCAAAGCCGAAACGAATTGCGAAGCTGAGGCCTTACTCAAAACCTTACTCAATGAGAAATTCAGAATCCATTCGACGATTGTCAAGTTCAGTTACAAACGCCTTTTCCTCATTTTGCGCACCACAAAAGCGGAAAGCGACCACAGAGCCCCAAGCACACAGAGATTGCCTGAGACAACCAGCCAAGTCTGAAGCCAAAACCGAATCGAATCGAAATCCAAAACGAAAATCAAATTCAAGCCCAAACCAATTATATTCAAATATCCAAGCGAGGAGACCGAGGAGTCCTGCAAACATCCTTTCCATAGTGCAAGCTCGCCATTTTGTGTTTTCGATAAAGTTTTTAAAAAGCCATACCGCAAGATTCAGCATTAAATATATATATTTATATTTCAATTTCCCGTGCGTATACGTAATCTGCGTCGAAGTCAGTTCATTCTGTCCATGATTTACAAATATATTTATACATATTAGCCACTGAGAGAATCGGGAAGTGCAAGTGCAAGTGAAGTTCAGTATTATTTACAAAGCGTGAAAATCTAGAAGTTTACATAAATATTCTGCTCAAGAACTCACTACTCAAAGTAGTCCAAGGATTCCAGTCTCTCAGCGCAACAATTGTCAGTGAAAATTCCTATGAATCTTAGCCAACTAAAAACTCTAAATAAAACAGAAAACACACAACTAAAAAGGGTTAAAAACTCTCAAAGCAAAAAAATATTAAGTAAATGTTAAAGAAAACTTTAAAGTGAACACCAAAGGAAAATATCTACAGTATTATTTTAATAAAATATATAAAGAACATTAAGCGATAAATAGAGACAATAAAGTAAAAATAAAAAACCAAATAAAATTTGTGACTCTAGCTTAAAAGTAAAATCGTAAAAAAAAATCTAGCTTAATTGTGAGTGAAAAAGAATTAGAAAATTGCCCTTAAATAAATTATAAAACTTTAGTTGAAAAAAGCTTAGCTTGAATAAACAAAACAAAAATATTGTGTCTATCGATGTGTGTGCTTAACTAATTGCTAATTAAGAAAATACATAAAATTCAATTTCAACATTAATAAGTGTTCAGTGTTTAGCCAATATAAAAATTGCATTACTAACTAGTCAATGTTCTAAATAAAAATCAATAAGAAAACGAAACCAATCAGACACAAAGGCAGACAAGGCTCAGACAGTCGCAGACAAAGGCAAACAAGAAGGGAGAACGCGAACGCAAGCCCTCGAAATCAATTTACAATCAACCTGCTCACCAATATCCATTAAAATTGCGTCAATCAAGAGAAAAACCTCGCCATTGCCCGCAGCAACATCGAAGCTAGCCAATTTCAGCCAACAGGACCCACAACAGGAGCAGCAGTCCGGCGATTTTGAGGCAGCAGCTGTAAGCCAATTGGTGGCAACAGTTGTGCAAACACCAGCAGTAGTAGCAACAACAGTAACAGCAGCAGCGGCGGCAGGAGCAACACCTACAGGAGCAACATCCACAGGAGCAACATCAGGCGCTAAATATCCCAAGGCCAGCTCCTTGAATCAGCAGCAAACAACACCACCACCACCGCCGCCACCACCACCACCGCAGGAAACCGCAACAGCAGCAGCAGCAGTAACAACAAG